AAAAAAAAAAAAGAGTAGTTTTTCTTCTCTGTTCCCCCCACGCCCAGACCAAAACACTGCCATACAGGTACGCTATAGCAGGTTGAAGGACATTTGCCACAGAGGTACAATTTGACCCATCCCTTTCAAGGAAACCTGAAAGTAATTACTTCAGTTATTATTACTTCTTAAAATTTTGGCAAAAAACAACAGTAGCTAAATAACGTGGGGACTGCAGAAGGGCTGATGCACAGAATGTATAAGCTGGAAGGGACAACAGATCTTCATTGCTAAACGGAATTACAAGGGGACTCCCAAGGCAAAAACAGGTTTCAGTTAAGTATCTTCTTCCCACTGAGACAGGCCAGCACATCTTGACGCTACTTGTGCCCATTTCCACTACCTCAGAGCTTCTGCAACCAGAGGCACAGTGAGGCATTTTGGCCCCGAAAAAGCCCCCATGCTTTGCTCTGCTTTCACCTAGCTTCTCTCCTACGCTCAGCCTAGCTATTGCTGCTGCCTCGTGCTCAGAAGACCCTTCTTGTCCTGTCCTTTCTGATGAAACTAACTTTTTGCTAGTGAGGAAGGACGAAAAGAAAAAACCCAACCCAAAAACCTAAAAATGCAGGCTGAGGGATTGGCGGGGGAGAACCTGCTGTTTCTCTCCAGTAGGTGTTCTCAAAACCCTGATATCTGTGACCCGTTAGTGCAGGCAGGATGAGAAGGCTCAAATCAGCCTGTGGAACGTGCAATCAGCAACTCTCCTTGCAAAGTTATGATCTGCCATCGTTTAACATGCAGGGTCGTGTAGTTATCTGTAGGCACATGCACAAAGCATCACATCTGCACAGACGTCTAGCTGCTTATGGCCTCCTTTACCTACTAGCTAGCTAGTTTGCAGCCTGACTCATAGCATGGCAAAGATTAAAGGAGAAATAAAAACTGCCTTTTACAAAAGCAAGCTGTACCAGAAAGGTGAGAGAACAGAACAAATCAGATCTAGCTTCTGAAGTAACCCTCAACAACCAAAGACACAGCTTGCACCACATCAGTGTCTGAATGTGATACTCCATCCAAGCACCTCCAAAATAAATCCCTTCGTTTCTATCCAAAAGTGACATCACTGTGGTACTACTTAGCTTAATAAGTTGCCACTGAATTCAAAAAAGGCTCAGTCTAAGATCACGTTTCAGTAGTTTTCAAGAAAATTGTCTAGCACACCATGATGCAAACATGAGGAACCAAAACTCATCAGCCCAGCTTGATTGCTGATGCAGCCTTGAGGAAATGAGTCAAAGCATTAGAGGGAGACACCATTTCCTTCCTCTATTCAGGAGGGAGAGATAGCTAAGCAGGGCAGGGCAACGCCTCTTGCACAAGCGCAAAAACACTACTTGTCCTTTTGGTATTTTGGTAAGAGTCCAACAAAAATGGACCCCTTACATCTGGAGGAAAAAAAGATTACGGGAGAAAGACTGAAAAAACATTACGACAGCTCTTAAACTGTCCCGCATGAAGGTATTTTGATAAAAGAACAAAAGAATATTTCAATAGTTAACTTTACTGGAAGAGATGCTAAGTTTCTTGACTGAGATTACTGAATCTTACATCAGTCAAAAGCACCATGTGGCCTGATGAAATACTGTCCAGCAAAGCTCACTAAAGGAGAGCTGCTCAAAGTTTTCTCTCTCCTTATCCTAGGACACAGGAAAAGAACCTGAAGTTGTGTTTGCCTAGAGTGATTCAGAAGGTGCAGGACAAGTCGATTTAAAGCTCGTTCATTCGTTTCCCAACCACAGCTGGACATGTCCAGCAGTTAGTGAGCAGTAGCTGAGAGCTGTTGCGAACAAGCAAAAAAACCTGCCTGAGAATGGGACTCGAGTGCACTGCACTAAAAAACAAGTTACCAAGACTCAAAAGGACCAAAAGGAAGACAGTTGTGAGGACCTACTCAGAGGAAGCCTCAAGGACTTCCTCACTTAGCATCACTTGGTTTAAATGGAGATTAGTGGCGCTTGACTAGCGCCAGCACTGAACAGGACTGCTTCAGGTTCTGCTTCAGCCCATTTGATGGAGCAGAACGTGGTTGTTCCGGCAGAGATGAAGGAAGGGTTTACAGACACTTGAAGACTTTATTTTGGTTTACAAATAACTTTTACCAAACATCCCTCACTCTCCTGAGGCAGCTCTGATACCACTGCTAACTCTGCAGTGCTGCCTTGCACCCAGCCTCTCTTCTGAAGATGCTCTCCTTGTTCTCCCCTTCGAGGGCTTGGTGTCAGCTCCATCTCAAGTATTTACCACCCTCCTGAGCCCTTTCACTTCCCCATTCCTCGCAGCTGCCTCTCCGTTGTTAGGCCCTCGGGTTGCTGGTCACTTTGACATCCCACCCCCTTGCACTATGCACCCAAGGCCCCATGCAAACACTACAGCTTCCTCATCTACATCTGCATGAGCTGTACTTTTCTTTCCCTCTGCAGCCAAATCTCTTAATCCTGCCCCTAAATACGTTTAACCAGGACTAAAGCCTTTCTGGCCTCTAACACCAGCCACGCCTCTGCATCTGTTTAAGCAAGACACTGCAACTGAAAATTATGTTCCTACTCATTGATTTGATCTAGTCATTGCTTTCCTTAAGCCTTCTACTATCTTCCTATCCTTTATTATGTGAAATTCAAAGTAGTTACCGCGGCTCTGAAAGTTCTTGGGGGCTCTGCTCTATCTCCCCTATGTCGGAAGAACTGAAACCACACATACACATCCCTATACCGTCTTCTAGACAAGCCTCTACGCACTGCTCAACCCTCCTGAGCCCTTCCACAAGAACCACTGCCATTTCTTGTTAAAAACTTCCTGAAAGCTCATTCCTCTGTGCAAGAGAGTGAATCTATTTCAGATGCACTTTAGTAAAGGTCACTTCTTTTTTCCTAAACAGCTCGTCCCATGTGAAAGCTAGCTATAAAATAGATCTGTTCGCGGGACATTTCTATTGACACATATTCTGCTCAGACTTTTGACATCAGGCCCGTCACCATGAAAATAATAATGATAAAAAAAAAGTAATGTTGTGTAGCGTTGCAAGATGCAGTCCCACGCAGGTGACAAGATCAGCAGCTACTTCCTTCAAAATAACAAGCTTGAGCAAAGTAAGAGGAAGGTCCAATGCTAGTTTTTAATTATGACTAATTAAACTACACACACACAATTCTCACGCAAGAAATGAATCTCAGCTAATGCAGATGCTTCGGCCTTTTATTCCCGCAGTTCCCACCACCTGTTTTCTTTTCCACCTAGAGCTACGGGCTTCTCCCCACAGACAGCTACTTCTGCCTAAGACGGACCAGATTCACTCCAGGATCAAAGGCAACCTTTCGAGGCATGAACATTCAAAAACTTTAAAGTCTGTATTTTAAAACTCTGCGAGACAAGAAAGTGGAGCCTAACTGGCCAGGTTTTCAAGAGTGCTCAGTGGCAAACAGCTCCTATTTTTCTCACTGGGCGGTGCTGTTCACATTTTAAAATCTGGCCACACACATTCAATTACATCTACATTTCTAATTACATCTATATACAAATGTATAAATGCACACATATAAATCACGCTGGCAAGGAGGGTAACCACTGTCCCAGAAGTATACTAGCTCCAACCCTTTTGTGGTGGCAGTTGCTACTAAGACTTGGTAGATTCTGACATAAAAGCCCTGGTAGCTTCTAGCTGCAGAAAGGCTATTTTAGGTTAATAGTTTTATCCCTCCAAGTATCACATAGCTTCACAACCGAGCTTCTAAGAACCTGGCACCTCAGCTGATAGTTGGAGGAACTTGATTAAAAAAATGAGAATTTTAAAGTTATTGGATCAGCGTTATGCCTAAAATATGTTTTCTGTAACATATGGCACGGACAGAATACACAGTGGTGTAGTAGATACATAAAGGCTTTTTATCAGTGTGCATTTGGGACGATCAGCATGACACACTATGTGCTAATTATCTACTGTGTTAATAACAGACTTTTCAGGTCTCTTCATAATCAAAAATATTTTTAGATATTCCTTCAGTTTGGGCAAGCCAAGCCTTGCGTTCACATGGTGCACTCATTAGAAAACATAAATATAGACAATTCCTTTGAGTTGAAAAGTGAAATATTTTGTTTTGGAAAAAAAGAAAAACTCCCAAGAGTTTGTCTTATCTCCAAACTGCATAATTTCAGCGAGTGAAAAAACTACTCAAAAAGTTTGAGAAGCTGCTGCCCACCAGAGACATCCCAAATTCCTGCTTCTCTCGCTTCCATTTGCATGACACGTTATACAGACATATACACAGAGATAATAGGAAGTTTTATTTTCTGAAGGCTTTTCAGTTCCCTGGGAATAATTCCGGGCCCCGGAGCTGCAACATCTGCAGAGCTACATACCGTTGCTGGAGAGGAGCGTGAAGTATGTGACAGAGAATGTCTAGTGTTTTCCATCCCCCCATGAATGAGATAGGCTCCCGAGCCGGAGAGGATCGGACTTCCCCCAATGTCCATGGTGATGCCCACCATGTTGTGAGAGGGAATGGCCGTAGGAGAGGATGCCGCTGTAGTCACCTGAGCTCCACCTCCCTGCGGTTCGAAATAGGAAGCTGCGCTGCTGGGGGCGTAAATCTGAGCTTCGGTGTTGTAGGAGTAGGCGGCTCGTCTGTCAAAGGAACGACACGGTTAGGACGGAGAGCAGGCGCCGGCGGGGAGGCGCGCGCCGCTCCCATCGCACGCCATGGCAAAGGTGCATTTCAGGAAAAAAAAAAAAAAAAAAAAAAGGCCTCGCCTCCATTGTCGACGGGATTTGCTCTATTGAAATTGGACTTGGCTATAAAAGTCAATTCTGATAGCATTAATCTGTCCTGTGACAGTCCCGAAGCACAGGTCCGCAGCCACGGCTGGTCCGAGCAGTGGAACGCACCGTGTGAGAGCACGCAGAGCCCAGGAAGGTTTATTTGCAGGAGCCTAATCTGTAAACGAAGCCTGCAAAACGTGTCTACTTCTCATTCACTTTAAAAGTCCTGAAGTCTAGCCTTTAGCAGTAAGTACTTGCGAGTTCAGCCCTACCAACAGCTTGCCTTGCGCAGTTAATACTGGATAAAATAAACTATTCCCTTAAAAGCACAATTTTGCTAGTGCAGCAGTGGCTATGCAAGAGCCTTTGTTCATAAACAGTATCATAAAAAAAGCCACACCTGAAAGTCTAAAGCTTTTTACGCAACTGTTGAAAATGCAGCTTAGGCACCTAGGTAAACTTTTCCAAGTGTTAAGATGTGTTAAGTGCTCTAGAACTAATATGGAGAGCTAATTGACATCAATAGTTTTCCCCTTAAAAGAGAGGAGGGGAAAAAAAAAAAAAAGACAAGCTCGAAGGTCACTCTACACATTCAGGGACTAGAAACCAAACATTTCCTAGGAAAACTGAAGTTTTCTGATTCTGTCTCGTTTTTGCTACGTAACAGGAAATTGGCCTTATCTGGCATTTTCACCTATGGCATTTTCAATTTTCAGTATAGGAGATGATGACCCTCACTGCAAACCCCTGTGAAAAAGCTGGTGGGTGGGCAGTATTTTGCTGTGACATTGCCACAGGATCTATACAATGCTACAGTTCAGGAGCTGCCGAAGCAGTGCAGCGGCAGCACTGGGAAGCCCACCTGAAGCTTTTCCTCGCTTCAGGACAACCAGTGAAAGGATGATGTTCTTCTCTTTAGCCCTTTGATCCCCTCCTGTCCTGGAGGAGGGTTTTTCCCTGACTAGAACTAAATACCCTGGAAACTGGAGTCCTTCGGCAGTCAGCATCCAAACCGCAGACCAGAAAAAAAAAGTCATGTCACGCTCTCAAAAACCCGGACGTAAGCGTTGTCAGAGCCTCTACAAAACAAGCGAGCTGCAATGAAGCAGCACACTGTTTAAAATAATCTCACCAACTCTACAAAGGAACCATGCCATTCTGAGTAGAGGCAAGATGGGAAGAAAATCCACACCTCACTGCAGAGCTGCACTCACTCAGTGTCACCTACACGCTGGTTGGAGCAGCACCCTAACGTGGCACCACGAAGGCATAGCGGGGAACATGCCTAAGAAAACACAAAGCAATTGAGCACAACGATATGAGAAGAGGGTCTCTTGAGAAGAGAAGGTCATTTTGCTATCACCATACTGGAACAAAGCTGAGAGCATCTCAGAAGGCAGCAGAGGCAACAGAAAATTTGCTAAACTCCTTGCTTCTGAAAAGAGTTATGCTTTGGTTCCTAAAGTCACACCTCCTTTCTGCACACAAAGGGCTAGGGAAAAGAAAACACTGGACCCTGTTACATAAAAGAGCAGGATTCCCCAGAGAACTGCCTCTTCCATGAAGTACAATGCCTCCTCCAAGGCTGGAGTCTGGCTGAAGCTACACCCACGCATACAATGAAGCCTGTAAAAGAGTTCCTCCTCTTCCTCCTTTTAATGGTGGGCAGTGCCAGTAGCAACACTGGCATGGAAGGAGCCTGGAAGGACCAAACGGCTCAGACCCAGCTGGGTGAAATGGAGGATGTGCTACTAGGAATGAGAGAGTCTTACATGGTTCCATTGGTATAAACAGCTTCTCCTCCTTCCACATACTGGACCTGGGATGGATATACGTGCTGCACAGATTGCACCTGAAACAAACAGCATAAATGCGAGTTATAGATATATTATTGCCTAGCAACAGTGGGAGAAATTACATATTTCATCCTTAAACCGCTTTCAACCTTACCTTGACTTTTTTTTTTTAAAATGAGCTTAGGAATCCCAGAGGATGCATTTATTTTAAAAGGTCAAATTAAAATAAATAAATAAATAAGTAGTTGCTCCATGAGCAGTGGAAACAATGGAGCTGGATTTCCTCTGCACGCCGTCCCAGGGCTGGTTCTCTGCTGACTAATAAGGGTGAGATCACGCTGCAGCCTTTCCCTCAGAGAAGAGGTTGGCAGTGTCCGTCTGCACCCCAGCCCCCTTTTTCATTAGTCTGGGAGGTACGTGGTTACCCTCTGTCAAGCTTGTCTGAAACTGAGCAACCAAATAAAAAATTGCTGGGAGAGAAAGTCAAGAAAGTCGGACTCACTGTCCACATGAAGCAGCACCATATATGCTTGGTTTCTTAGGAAACAAGGACTGAAAAGGCAGAGTTCAGATAAATAAAAACACTTGCACAACTCTCAGTCATCCAACCTTTCTATGAAGCTACAATGTGGTCAGTACACTGACTGGTGTAATTAAAAAAAATCCCAAACAGTTTGACTCTAAAAAATATAAAATCTTTACAGAAGAGGACTGCTTTTTAAATGGCAGTTAGAAACAACCATCAAATCTTTAAACGTATGCAAGACAGCTGATAAAGAGAAGGTTCTTTCTAAACTTTAAACACCTCGAGAGTTATTGGTCTAAGAAAGAGAGATGGCGAAAGCTGCTCTCCCACTAATCGCCGATTCTGACTGCACTCAACTCTAATTAATGGCACAGATTTTTCTAAATAGGTGTCTGACCCAGTTTGAAATATCGCGTGGGACAGGAGAGACAGAGAGAGCCTGCAAGTCCTCTTTACGCTAGGTCACGGCAGTGTCTCACCCCGCTGACATTACCTGTTGTGGAACCTGCTGAAAACAGAGAGCTGCTGCATCTGCGCTCCTTTGGGAGCGGAGCCTGCTGCTTGGACCAAAACCCTCTGAAAGAAGAAGACACAATAGCATACGCTTACATTCAGTTTGCTGTTAGTCTATAACGGAGATAAGTTAGGTATTTGCTTTCATGGAAAGCTTGCCTCCAAATGCAGAGGCAGCAGTACCCCTTATCACTGCCTCATTCTACCCTGTGAGTCCCCTATCCTCCTTCCAAGGGGACACCGGGCATTAGTCTGAAATCACTACTTTCAACATGGGAAAAGCAAAGAGCTGAATCCATATTTTCAGATATGGCCCATCTTTCAATCAACACTCAAGGGAATAATAGCAAATGCTCGATTAATAAAAGCAGTTCAATGAAAGGTTCGGTCACAACTAACTGAAGAGGAATCACTCCTCACACATTCACATTTTTACACTGTGGCTGCAAAGTTTCTTCTTTTATGGCTGCTACACCAAATCACACTCTGCCTCCTGCTATAGATCTATTAAAAAAAAAAAAAAATCCCACACTGCAAAGTGCCACAGCCCTCATGGTTTCCACCAGCAACAAAATTAAGTTGGTTCTGCATCTCCCCCCAAATGCCAGGAGGGAGATGCAGAACCAACCAAGGGCGAGCACAACCACCCTTGCACAACCTCCACAAGAGAGAGCACAGGAATGCTTCCCATTTCCTCCCT